AGAAACCTACTGAGTGGAGGGGGGATCTTTGCACCCGCTGAGAGACTTCTGTGATATCTTACGCCTTGATCTTTGTTTGCGATCTTTTCAAAATGCACCGACATGTTATAAAAACATTTACAGCGCCTAGACACGTTTCAGCCGCAGCTCTTCTTAATAACGCATGGGTCTAAAGGCACAAAGCAAAGCCACTTGTACCATAAAACTAGCTCGAAGCAAAGCAAACTCTGATTTCACTAAGGAGCCTGCACACCCGCCTGAAAGGCGCCTCTTGTTTTGAACGCGAACATTATTTCCCCTTGTCTCGTTCCAATCCGCGAGTCAGCCATCTTAACACATCTACGAAACATCTCCCCTCCCAACCCCCGCTACACTTCTCTTTCTTTTCTGTTAGTAAAGATAATCCCACCCGCTTCATAATCAACACAGTCACCCAGAACAACAACAAAAAAAAAATTACTAGTATGGCTCATCGTCGCAACACCACGTTTACCAGACATCTTACCTCGACCTCGCCCGCCACTCGAAGAGCTTTAACCGCTCCGGTCGGCTCCCTCTGTCGGTCGGCCGTCTGCCACCCCCCCACCGAGCCAGGATTGGCCAGACACAAGTACCTTGGAAACACGTCATTGGTTTGTCAACATGCCAATCGACATACAGCTCGGCCGGGGATTGGTCAAAATTAACGCTTATCAATTTGGGTCAGCCTACCGAAGAGCTCGGATTCTGGCGAAGGCAGTGCTTGTACAGACTGCAGCGTTGTAATGATTTAAGAATACATCCTCTGATGCACCTGGACACATCATCAGTATTCCTACCAGGGGTCTTTCAACATCAGACACCCTCGCCCAGGCGACCCAGCCAAGGTTGTTCAAGCCCTGGCTTGCGTCCAGGTGGCTTTGTTACCCACGGGTCACTCCTCTAATTATTATTATGATGAATCATTTTTTGCACTTATAATAATAATAATAATAATAATTGCTTACACTTATATAGCGCTTTTCTGGACACTCCACTCAAAGAGCTTTGCAGGTAATGGGGACTCCCCTCCACCACCAGCAGTGTGCAGCCCCCACCTGGATGATGTGACAGCAGTCAGAGTGAACCAGTATTTTCTCCACACACCAGCTATCAGTGGGGAGGAGAGCAGAGTGATGACCCCAGATCAGAGATGGGGATTATTATTAAAGAACAGAACCCGATTCTAAAGTAGAATGTTTGGAGTCTGGATTTGAAAGAGTTTAGGGAAGGTGACTCTCTGATATCCTTGGGGATGGAATTCCAGAGCTCTGGGGTGCAGCAGGAGACGGCCCTGTCACCCCTAGATTGTAGACTGGTTTGGGGGACAGATAGAAGGCAAGAATGACAAGAGCGAAGGTTGTGAGGTGGGGAGTAGGACGACAGTAGCTCAGACAGGTATTGAGGTGCCAAACCATGCAGAGCTTTAAAGGTGAGCATAGGGATTCTGAATTCGACACGAAACCTGACAGGAAGCCAGTGCAAAGACTCCAGGATAGGAGTAATGTGATCACTTGCAGTAAACCTGGTCAGGATTTACTGGAGTTTGTTCAATGTGGATTTAGAAACCCCAGCGAGTAGAGCATTACAGTAGTCGATCAGGGAGAAGACAAATGTGTTGATCAGCTTTAAGACATAGTCTAGCGATATTTCTGAGGTGAAAGAAAGATGTTTTGACAATATGCTGCACATGTGGGTCGAATGTCAAACCTGAATCAAATATCACCCCAAAGTTTTTCAATTTAGACTGAATCTCAAGTACAGTATGACCCACAGATAGGGTTACAGCATTGGCTTTACAAAGTTGATGGGGGGTGCCAATGAGCATGACTTCAGTCTTTGTCACAGATTAAAAAAAGAAAATTTTGAACCATCCATGTTTTTAGGTCAGAGATGCAATTAGAGAGAACAGAAACAGCCACATCAGTGTGAGGTTTGGTATGGACGTAGATCTGAGTATCGTCAGCATAGAAATGATAGTTGAGGCAATGATCTTAAAAACTGACCAAGCAGAAATATGTAAATGCTGAAAAGTAAGGGGCCCAGTATTGAGCCCTGAGGAACACCAGACTAAACGAGTCCAATTTCAGACCTAAATCTGCCAAGAGAGACAAAGTGACAGCGATCAGTGAGGTAAGACTTGAAGCATTTAAGAGCAGTGTCAGAAACTCCAAACACAGGTCAAGACGAGAAAGTAAGATGTCATGGTCAACAGTGTTGAAAGCAGCACTGAGGTTAAGAAGAATGAGGATAGAAAGAGAGCCAGAATCAGAAGCCATTAGAAGATCGTTAGTGACTTTGACCAGGGCAGCTTCTGTGTGTGAAGTTGTCGGAAGCCAGATAGGAGGGGTCTGAAAAGGTTATTTACAATGAGGTGGTTATGTAATTGAAAATGTGACAGCACAGTCTAGAATTTGTGCAAGAAAGGGAAAATTGGAGATGGGGCGAAAATTGTTTAGATTTAGATTTTGTGGCACAGGGGTGATAGCAGCAGTTTTGAGAACCACTGGTACAACACCAGTGCTCAAGGATTCATGTATTATATTGAGGACAACGGGGCAGAGAGAAGTGAAAACAGCACTGAAATGAAGTGGTGGGGACGGGATCTACAGTAATGTACGGGTGGTGGGTTTCATCTGTTTCGAAGGCCTTTTTTCAACTATTTCCAACCGCCTCTCTTTGGCAGTTTGGATGGCTTTCCTCTTGCTCACCCCTGTTACGTCCAAAAGACACAGAGGGACTGGCCTGCAAGTCCTCTGCAGCCCCCCCCCGACGGGCTCACCCCCTCCCACAGCGCAGACCCACCAGGTCTTCATGTCTGACTCCCTCCCTTCCACCAGCCTCCAGCGGGGACCTGTCCGCTCTGGCACGGCCGGCTGCCGAGATGCTTCACACAGCAATACAACGTCCAGCCCGAGTGCGGTCAGGGGCCCACCTGTCTTGCCGTTGCCAAGGAGACCCGCCGATACTTTGCACAGCGGACGCGGCTGCTGACCGGCTCTGACGGATTCGGTGGCCTGGTGATGTTTGCTGTCGTTGATATCCCCGCTAATAGCGTCCGCCAAGGGCTTCAGCCCCCGGTCGCGCTGCCACCGATAGCAGCCTTCTCCAAGGGCTTTCGGGCAACAGTCGAGGGCGTGCTCCAGTGGCCCTCACCCCTGGCACAAAGGGCATGCCGGCAAGACGCCTCTGCCCCAACAGGAGAGACACCAGGAAGCAGTAAAGGTTTATTCCATGCTGAAAAGTGACACCCAGAGAAGGCTCCACAGCTGAAACGTTGTGTTTCTTTTCGTCTCTTTTCTCCTCTTCTAACTAGCAAGACCTTATGTTAAATATGCAACTTTATAGGAAAGCAGAGGCTGATGTGTAGGAGTGATATGCTGCCAAGGCTTGGTGCGAGTTAGAAGTCTAGTTGTCAAGTTTTGGCCATAATGCTAGTTGTTTAGAAGAGAGTGAGGAAAACCACAGAGTAAGGAGTGGCGGGGATCAAGCCTCTGTGTTTTAAATGAATCACGCAGTCAGCGTCGGACGTTTGTAAAAGAATCGTGAAAGAATGCATTATTTGCAGACTTGAAATTGTAAAAGAAAATAGGGGCCAGTAGGGGGCGCTCACCCTGCGGTCTGTGTGGATTCCAGTGCCCCAGTTTAGTGACGGGACGCTGTGCTGTAAAAAAGCCCTCTCCTTCAGCTGACGCATGAAACAGCGCTTCTGACTTCTTTAAAACGCCTAATTGTTTCTCGAAAAGAATAGAGGTAGGTATTCAAACCAAACTCCCCACTAATCTTGACAATCAACATATAGGAACAGGCTAGTTTTTGTTCTTTATATCGCCAATACACATGATTATTGGACTAATGATAATACTGTGGCTTTAAACTTGCGTAAAATAAGAAATAGCATTTTATACTAACTCACGCTCTGGAAGACATCATGCCTGGTCCCGGTACCAAAGAAAGGGCGCCCCTCTGTCCTCAACGACTACAGACCAGTTGCACTGACTTCTCACATCATGAAGACACTGGAGAGGCTGGTTTTATCCCACTGGAGACCCCTGGTCAGCTCATCACTGGACACCCTACAGTTTGCCTACCAGCCCAATGTTGGTGTGGAGGAAGCGATCATCTACATGCTGCAAAGGGCCTACTCACACCTGGACAGGGCTGGCAACACTGTAAGAATCATGTTTTTCGACTTCTCCAGTGCCTTCAATACCATCCAGCCCTTACTTCTAAGGAGGAAGCTGGAGGAGATGCAAGTCGATGCCTCCTCGACCTCGTGGATCACTGACTACCTGACAGGCAGACCACAGTCTGTGAGACTTCAGAACTGTGTGTCTGAACAGGTAGTGAGTAACACAGGGGCACCTCAAGGGACAGTTCTTTCTCCATTCCTCTTCACCCTCTATACTTTGGACTTTAAGTGCAACTCAAAGTCATGCCACCTGCAGAAGTTCTCAGATGACTCTGCAATTGTGGGATGTATCAAGGGTGAGCAGGAGGAGGAGTACAGAGGACTGGTCAGCAGCTTTGTGGAGTGGTGTGGGGTGAACTACTTGGAACTGAATGTAACAAAGACAAAGGAACTGGTGGTTGATTTCAGGAGGAAAAAGGTCAAACCTACTCTTGTCTACATCCATGGGAGTGGCGTGGAGATGGTGGACTCGTACAAGGACCTGGGAGTGCACATCGACGATAGACTGGAATGGTCTAAGAACATCGAGGCCATCTATAAGAAGGGACAGAGCTGACTTTACTTCTTGAGGAGGCTCAGGTCCTTCAATGTGTGTAGTAAGATGCTGCACATGTTTTATCAGTCGGTGGTAGCGAGTGCCATTTTCTACGCAGTGGTGTGCTGGGGCTCTGGGATTAGAGCAGTGGATTCCAAAAAGCTGAACAAGCTCATCAGGAGAGCAAGCTCTGTCATTGGGTCTGACCTGGACCCCTTGGAGGTAGTGGCTGAGAGGAGAATGATGTCCAAACTAGAGACCATCATGGACAACTTCTCCCATCCCCTCTATGACAGGCTTGCAGGAATGAAGAGCCCGTTCAGCAATAGACTGATTCATCCACGGTGCGACAGGGAGCGCTACAGGAGGTCATTCTTGCCTTCTGCCATTAGACTGTACTACTGCTACATCTGTTCTCTTTCTCTTTCTTTTTCCCGTTTACAACCATTTTTTGTGCAATACATCTATATTTATATTCATATGTCTGATACGATTTTCTGTGTACTGTTCTAGTTTGTTCTTGTGTATCTGGACTGTGAGTAACTCTTGTATTGTGTTGTATGTATTGTACTATTATTAAACATTTCGTTATACTGTGACGGCGTTGTATTTATTTAACTGCTGTTGTACTGCAGCTTTCCTCACAGATTCAATAAAGTATCTATCTGTTAAATAAGTTCTGATTTTTTACCAGTATTGGAAGCCCCGCCGTGAGGCAGGGCGATCAAAAAATTAGTTTAGACTCATAATGTTCCTCTCCACGGAAATCTTTAGTAAAAGGCGAAAGATTTATACGATCTGAAGAGAAACCAGAGTGTACTGAAATTGCTCTCTGTGCCTCGGCGACCAGCTTCAGCAGCTGATATTACAGGGTCATGGTTAGACAATATGGGACGTTATGAAAAGTCCAGTTTTCCACGGCTGATACACGAAGACATTACTGCTGTAACCCCCATTCCCTTTACCTTAAACTCATGTGTTTTTTGTTACTACATAGAAAAATTATAGCGTGTTATTCAGGACAAAATGCACTCTGGGAAATATATGCAAATGAAGCTGAGCTAATCAGGCCGGTATGACTTCGAGAGGCTGAGTTGTTTTTAAAGTTTTTTTTTTAAATACAAAAATGGAAAATACAATAAATAGGGGTATATACATATAGTCACAACATTGTTAACATCAAGTGAATGAAACAAAAAAAACTTTGTCCACAGTACAGAGGCTGAGTGGTATGCATTAGGGGGAATATACTTTATTGTGTAAAGTACTTAAGCGCCAAGTACTGTGTGCAATCGTGTTTATTTTATATGACGATATACAATAAATGAAAATATTTTTTGACTCGCAAAATGTAATATCATGCACCTAAACTAAATTTATGTGATTAATCTACTGACACGTTTGGAGAAATTCAATGTTTAATTTAAGGCTGAACGTCAGAGCATTAAACCTGACCCCATTCTGTAAAGACACTTGGAGATTCTCAGCCAATCCCCATCAGCGTCACTAACGCTGCAGTAAAGTCGAACGTGATTGGCTGTTTGTGAAGCAGCCGGAGAAGCATTGATTCAAGATGGCCGAGGTAGTGGAGCTTCATAAACTTAAGGTAAAAAAATATATAAATAAGCCTCGAAATTAGTGTGTAGCACTCACGCTTGAGTAATACGGCTTTCTGTAAAAAGTATCTTATCATTCTAGTAGGTTGGAGGATGAAGTAGGCTAGAGGTTTTTATAAGGAAGCTGCAATTCAAATCTCGCCCAGTCGAATGCTTACCAAACAGGTTTATGTTCAATTTAGGCTGAATGTGTACTGTATGTTTAACCAGTCGATTACTCCTGTGCTGTTTGCTTCCAGTTAAGCATGTGTTAGTATTTGGACTCTATAAATCAAATACTCTATAAACCATATACCAAATTCAGTTGTAATTTGCACTGCGCTTGGCGAAATACTGTAATATCGCACGCTGCTAGGATAAAGGCCTTCGGTGCAGAGCTTGCAGAAGACTGGAGAGACGCTCAGGGTTGTTACCTGGCCTGCTGATGTAGAAAAACATCAGACCTTTTTTATTTGACACTCCTGTTTTACCTGTGTATCGTATACACTGGCTGCGACCTACATCACATAAGAAAAACCAACCTTGTGTGTACGCGACCGATTGTAACAGATGAGCTTTGTTTTGCTTTCCAGGTTAAGAAGTACGTTTCACGTGTAGGTGGTTCTGTTTTTACCTGCATGCTGTTGCTTTGATACGCTTTCAGGATTCAGGATATGCGTTTCAAATAACGAACTTAATTTGTTGATCTTGTTCGTCGGTTTGAAGGGTTCACGTTCTTCATTCAAAGCGAGTCTGAAACAGCAGCCACTGTAAATCATACAGTTTGTTGTTCTGTATATCCGTCATTTGTGAAACCCTCAATTATCCCTTGTATGTCTTTCAATTGCACTGCTTACCGTTCTGTTCAAAACTACTCGCACAGCAATTAGTTACCATAAAGGTTTAGTTGAGCGACCTGCAAATGTTAAACACGAGGAGGCCTGTTCTTCCGGAGCCATTGCAGAGTTGATCTCCAAGTTCTGCATTTCTGAACGGCAGTTGATGCGGTCATGGCCCGTGCCCGAGATTCGCCCCAGGCAACTGCAGATTCAAAGCTATTAAATCCAGAACATCCTGCTTGTGGGAAACATGAGATGCTCACTATAAATGTGAGTCATCTGCAACTTCTTCTTAAACCACCCAAGGTACGAAAAGAGAACAATGGATGAAAATATTTCTGGTTGAATAATTTGGAATAATTACAAGTCACGGGTGCAGAACATTTACTGGTTTCGCCAAGAGTATGAGAGCAGTATTTTGGATCTGATGAAGATGCTCAATTGATCTTGTGACTGTGTCCCCTTCTATATCCCTCTCCCTTGGGTTCTGGGTTCTCTCACTGTTTTCTATGGGTATAGGAACTGCACTGTAGTGCTTCCTCTATTCAGAAAATTTCAAATTTTCTGTAAAACGATTTTTACTTTTTAGTAATTACTTTATTATTGCTTTTGTATCTAAAACAAAGGTAGTTTTCATTTATGCCATTACACTTAAGCTGTGTCAGTATACGTAGGCTGCAAAGGAACGGGTCAAAGCTCATTCAATGCTGAAGAGACGGACAATGTGAGTTCTTTTCCTTGCAGTGTGAAATAAGCTTTCACATGCTCCTTTGCAGTTACTTTTAAGTCTGGTGTGAAATGGTAGAAATGCCTGTCTTGGAGGGGGGGGGGCAGTGAAGTATATACCACAGGAGCCCTCCCTTGTCCAGAGTGATGAAATCGCCTGTGTTCCTCTCTCTCTCTCTCTCCCCCCCCCCAGCTAGCTGAGCTGAAGCAGGAGTGTGCAGCTCGGGGTCTGGAGGTCAAAGGTAACAAAAGTGATCTGATCAGCCGGCTGCAGGCTTACCTGGAGGAGCACGGTAAGACCACAGTCTCCCTCTGTCTCCTGGGTTCATTCCAGGCCAGTGCAAACACGGGCTGTGTCCCAGTTGTCGCCCTAAATCCTAAGCCCGTCCCCCCAAGTCCGCACTCCTGTGACGTAGAGCAAGTGTGGACTTCAGGTGCGTGAGTATTTGAGGAGCACCGTTAGAAAGAGTGAAGGGACACCCTTGCGTGACAGCACTCGCTGGTTACACAGCTCCGGGTCAGAACGCTTTCTGTTGACACTGCTTTTCCAGGGGCCAAGTGAAGTTCGGCAGATAATATTTTAAAAGAATTGTCCGTTCTGCTCTCGCAGCTTGATGAGATTGGATTTCATCTCGTCTGTCTCTGCACAAAAGTAGTGACACGCCGTTTTTCATTCTATGTTAAGCAGGCTCGACTCAAAATGGGCGAACTAAGGAAAACCTGGCAGTACCACTCTCTGTTTATTCAGGGCTTTGTACTACTAAATGTATTTCATCTCATATGTCACCAAAAATGTTCACTACTGAAATGACAGTACAAGGAACATAATTTGTTAATTCACATTCGTTCAAAGTAAGCGAAGGTCAACTTGACAATACCTCAAGGTTTTGTACTGTTAGATACGTGTGCTATTAAATATTCCATTTACAAAACACACAGCAGGTGAACAAATATTCATTAGTCGTGATGGGGTGGTGAAATAAAAGCTTTAGGTCTCGATTTCGTATCTTAAAATGCATACAGTAAGAATCTCAAATAGCCCAATGAATTTTTTTTGCATAAAATATTCTGAGTTTTAAAACTGTAAGTGCAATTTTATTAATGTGAATATTTTGTTCTCCATCGCTACTTCTCTCTGCTTTGATAGGCTAGAACATGAAACGTCACTCTTCCGCACGGAATTAGGGGTGATTCCCTTGAGTGAGGTCCACTCAGATGGACTTCAGAGATGGGTGCATTGGAGGCGCTCATGAGCACACTTGTCACGCACAAATTTAAAAATGAGACCCCCCTAAGCCTCTGCAGACTTTAATGCGCGTATGAAGGGTGCAAGTGTGCATATTGGGACATGGCCACACTCTTGAGTTATCATTTCATTTTTAATATTATTTCAAAGGAATTTTGTGTGAGATAAAGGGTTCACAAGCCATAATTGTTGAAAACCACACTCTAAGCAGATCTCTTGAAATTGGCAGTTGCTATAAACCTGAAAAATAAAGGATTCGGTTAAAATCAGAATGTATCATGCTTTCTTCCCGTGGTCAGAATATTTTCAGTTTTTTTGTTTGAAAATGTTCAGATGTAAAGATTGATATATTTGCTTAAAATTAGTAACAGCCGATTGACAAAGTTTTGCCAGTTTATGAACACTTTTCACAGCTGATTAAAAAATGTGTAGGTGCCATTCTGTCAAAGCTGTGCACCCCTAATGACGGAGCAAATATACTTTTTCATATCTAAGATTACTTTTAAAAGTGCTCTGCAAGATAACTCGTCAGTTTTTCTGAGTGGCAAATTAATTAAAGCTTTGTCCCATTGGGGAAATTTGTTTTACAGCACAGTCTCAGCAAAACACGACAGATAAAATTGTACCAACCAATAATTCAGTACAACACCCTCTGTTTCTGAAGGATTTGCCCAGAATATTTTGCTAATTATTTTGACTGATTTTCCCAGCCTATTACAGTCAGTGGTACTGATGTTACCAAACCAGCAAGTGAGACAGTATGTTAAAGCACCTTCAGTGAAGACTTGTAGAAAAGTGTTAGGATGGTTCTGTCTACCTTGAAATAGCTTAATTTCCTGAGGAAAAAAGATTCTCTGTTTTCTTTTTCTGTAAGTGGTGTCACAACATTTGTCCCAACTCAGTTTTTTTCTGTGACCAGTCCCAAGTACTTGTAGTCATTGAACATTTCTACAGTCTGACCGTTAATAACAGTAGGTTGGAGGGGTGTTGCATTTTTCCAAAAATCAATGACAACCTTTGTTTTTAAAACATTTAACTGCAGAGAGAACTTGTCACATTATTTCGTAAAGTCATTTAGAATGGTCCATGATCATTTTCTGGGTCCCTTAATAAGCTGACCAGGGCTGTGTCATCAGCAAATTTAATGAGATGTCTATTTGCGCGTTTGCTTTTGAAATAGTATTTAAAATGTACAATAAAGGGTACAAAACAGCTCTATGGTAGGGGTATGAGGGATCAGTGCACAGCAGTGTATTCATTACACTTCATTTGATGTAAGGTGAGGTCACCTGTGGTCGTTGTCTACATACATTTAGTGTTCGGGCAGTTCTGTCAATAAGTGTGCTTCCCTCTTTTGACTGTTGAAAACTCATTATAATATTTGTCTCTCTCCAGCTGAGGAAGAGGTGAATGAAGAGGAGGTACTTAGGGAGGAAGCAGAGGTACCACAAGCGTTTCCTTTTTTTAATTTGGAATTGCAAATTGCTTTACATCTTATGCCCTATTGTTTAGTAACTGACCAGACAACAGGGTGTTTATTTGTAGCTGTGAAATGCTAATAAGCCCTAATAAAAGAGATATGTCAGTCCATAACTGCACATTTTTAGATTTATATTTTAGAGAGTTTTTCATGCTAGAAGCCTTACTATTTCTCAGGGTTACAGTCTAATATCTTGAAATGTTTAAAATGTGCAGACATATGTATCTTGGCTCCTAAGATAACAGGACATTTGTCATATATTCACATTTAGCAAGTTTGCCGTGGACCCACACATGATGTCAAATAACACCCTTTCTGTAGAACTGGATAAATGTGATAAACATGTACGTTAATGTTTTCACAATGTTCAGGATTGTTTATCCTTATAAATATAAAAAAGTTTCATGTGATGCAGTAATTGAAACAGCAGTTGGTCTTGCAGTTACAACATTTTAATAATGTTGGTCCTGGTGTGTGTGATACCGTGTTGTTGCTTTTAAAGGAGAACTCCAGAAACGGCCATTTAGAGGTAGTTGTTTAAAGGGAAGAAGTGTTTAGATTCCCAGTGCTATCACATGGCCATGTAGCCCAGTGGAGTTTGGCAGTATGGGTGGTGTTTCCTCCGTATTGCTGAATTTTCTCCAGAGTTACGCAAAGATAGAGACTACTTTTTTTCTTGTGATATTGCTCCTTCCAGTCCAAGTTTAAACAACTACAAAATGATTGAAATAAGAAGTGGGCCCAGTTTAAGCACAGAGCATGATGGGGGGGGAAAGGAGTCGTCTGTGTACTGAGGCGCATCCCTTGTCTTTCTGCCTAGGAGGAAGTGCCCAAAGCAGAGGATCCTCCCCCAGAGAAGCCAGCGAGGCAGCTGACTCCTGAGCCTGTGCAAGAGTAAGCACCTGCACTTTTATTTCATTTACAGGCAGCCCTTTCAGATATGCAATTTTCTCGCCTTGCAATTCAGGTGAAAGTGGGTTTAAAGTTGCTGGGTAAAATGTATTAAACAAATGCACACTGCCGCAGACATTGTCACTCCAATGTTATCCTCTAATTTACTCTATCTAGTTTGTTACTTTTAAGACCTTGTCTCTTCTCTCAGTGTGAGAGCACTGTTTCACCATTTCACTTGCATAGCTTTCCTCATAATCTGTCCTTGTCTGTGACACTTTTAAATTTAGCTTTTGCTGTGGCTGTAACTACATTAGATTAGACCTCTTCATAAACGTTTCCTATCTGTAGGCTGTCAGAATGAACTTGTAAATGAGCAGTTTATCCCAGTCAGTGAAATGACCAGAAATAAAGCCACATTTGTGTTCTACTTAAGCTACTGAAAATATATTTAATGCATCTGCATGTAAACCCAAAGCACTGTATTTTTCTGTTTAAAAAACACTTGTTTTTTAAACACTTGAAAGCTGAAGAATCCTATGTGTACTCAATGACCAGGAGAGGGCAGTCAAGCTCTGCCTGTGGATGGTTTTCCAGGGCATATCCTACATCTTGCTTTGATTATGTAGTTCAGCCACACCTGGGGAAAAAAGCAAGAGAATCCTGTGAAGAAGCCAGGTCCTGAAAGACTATAGATATACAGTTATTATTGCCAAAATGTGTGGTCTCTTACTGGTGCCTCCTGCTGTCATATATTGTAATTTACCTATTCGGTTATTAAAAGTTAATGACTCCCCACCACCCTAATTCTTCAGGAATACTGGGGGAAGAAAACTGCACTTCATCTTCCCAATGTATTCAAATTGTGTTGAAATTGGGTTTAAAGCCATGTTTCATGCCGTTTCCTCAATTTAACCCAGACTCTTTATTTGCAGGACAGTGGAGAAGAAGGTGGTGAAGATTTCTCCGCCAGTCTCTCTGGATGAGGTAGTGATCTTAGGCCACCGTTGGCTCTGCTTTCTAACTTTTTTCAGGGTCATATTTAATGGTGTTTATATGTTCAGTATGTAGCTTATTTTTACACCCAGGGGAGGCCTTGTCAGTGACTATGAACTGTCTCTGTCTGCAAACTCATCATGGAGAACATAGTTTTCAAGGTGTCCACCATGACCACAGTATATTTTTAGCCCTGGTTTATACAGATTCACTCAGCTTCGTGTTATATTCAGAATTATGTACAATAATTATTGCAGGCAGAGAATGGCAAATGGTATTTTGTACGTAAAAAACAGGCTTTTTTATTATAGAGCGGGAAAGTGGTTCTTTCCCCCCTGTGATGGATAAATCATTGAATGTTGCCTTGGAAATGTGAGCTAACGCATTGCCTTGTCTGTACGTGCTGTGAGGTTCTCTTCCGGCCCTATTTGGTCACAGATCCCCTGTAGGAGTGAAACAACGAACACATAGTCTGGAAGTTTACAGTGTGAGCAAACAATCCTAGCTGTCTCACTTAGCTACATCGGCGGTCGAAGACTTTTCCATTCTCTCTCTCTCCTTGGTCGCTCTGCCGTTTAACAAAGATTTTTTTCTGTCGACTCAGAGGCTGCAGAAGAGGGCAGAGCGCTTCAACGTGCCTGCGACCGGCGAGAGCAAGAAGGCCGCCCGCGCTGCCAGGTAACACCCCACCTGGGGAAGTCTCTGCACTCAGGCGCCGAGCGGAGCGGGAGAAACCCCTCCATACTAAAAGCAGTGGCTGCTGTGGTTCAGTACTGTTCCTGTGCAGAGGTGCAGAAAAAGGTGTTTTAGTTCTGCTAAGCATCCCGCTGTGCAAGCACAATTTTCACTTGCAATCCCGCTGATCCAGTGTAGTCCTCTCTGATTCTCTCCTGACTGACATGACACGCTGGGATGCTGCCACATAGAAGTGTATTCACTTGTTCCCTTTAATCTTGCAGGTTCGGTTTACCTATCGTTCCTCCAACCGGTGAGTCATACAGAATTGTTTCCTGTTTAAAGCTAAAGACCAATACATTGTGGACTGTATGTGAAGGCTTTGGCTTAGTTTTAATACAGAATTACTCAGATTTGAAATTGATGTTTTGAATTATGTTTAAGGTTTTAATTACTTTCAAATGTTGGAAATGCATAAGAAGCTGCTTACCTAAATATTTTATTTTAACCTTCGTTTTGTTGAGCAGTCAAATAAAATCTTTTAAACATTTTGTCTTTTAGGGACTTCGGCGAGCAGCAAGCCAGCTGTAAGTATGAAACAGGACCTGATTGATTCACTTTTTGAATTCCATTAATTCATCGTATTCAGTCTTGTGTAGATTTGTATGATATTTCAACTTTGATTTGCAAAACTGTTGCCCTTGGTTTTCCCAGAACTTATACATTGCCACAAAACAGACTGGACTCAATATCAATGCCTGATTTATCTCTCCTTTTATGTTATGAACATGCATAGTCAGACTTCCAGTTTTGAGGAGTTAGTCGTTGCTATCCTACTCTGACAGAAACGGTATTTAAAGAGGATTTTCCGTCACATGTTCTCTTTGTCCTGATGGATTTCTGAAAATGTTTTTTGCAACATTGAGCTTTTAAATTGTCCTGCGTTTTTTCTACAGTATCTTACATATTATGGCAGTGTGTCCTGCTTTGTGTATTGGGCACTAAAAGTAAAAATAACCATCCTCCTCGTTCTGTATTCTTAGGTCAACGTTGATGTACTGAAAAAGAGAGCTCAGAGGTTCGGCATGAATGTCTCATCCCTCTCCAAGAAGGTAGGACCCTTTGGCCTCTATGACCCTCCTTTACCACCAATATGACAGTCTGAGAACAAACCTCTGCATTGGATGGTTGCAGCAAGAAGTGCATGGTGCAAGTTATCAACGGGGCGATGTTTAAGTTGCAGATGATAATTTATCATCATTTTCCTTATCCTTATCTTCCTTTCTGGATTGTGTGTTAATTTTGCGTGTGTTAAAGATGCAACTTCCTGGAGTATTTCCAATATATCAGAAGTCCCCCCCCCCCCCCCCCCTTAAATCTTGTACGCGAAGCACAGAATGACCGTTACAGAGGCTGGACTTCAGCGTTAGCGGCTGGTTTCAAGCCAAATACTTTGTGCTATACCTCTGTAAGCCTTGCATTCAGATGCCCCCTTCTCCCGCGATCGCAGGAGCAGTGTGAAACTGGCCTGAACCTGGAGCTCTCCTTGTGGCTGTCAGGATCCCTGCAGAGCTTGAGATGTGCAAACTCTTAGGGGTGGCGTGAGCATTCATTTTCTTATCGGGGGTTCTGTGGAGAAAACCTTTCCCCAGTGATTCGTTACTTGGCCGTGCTGCTGGTGTGAGATGGCATTCTGTCAGCACGGCCCTCGCCTCCATGGCCCCTCTCCATTTGATTATTTTTTTTTCTGCAACGGAAACGGCGAGCCACGGGGGGGCAGATATAATAGCCCCTGGTTGGTGGGGGGGGGTGGCTCTCTGAGCGTGCCGGGGAGCCAGCTTTGTGTGCCGGCGGAAGTGCCTGGCACGGAGCTCCCTGGGAGGCGGGTTGCGTAATGCAACGGCAGTCCGCTCGCCGCGCGGATGCAAGCACCCCTCCCCTCTGCCCTCCCTCCAGAGATCCCGGCCCTGGGGGGGGGTTGGGGAGGGGGAGGGAGGGCGCCGTTAGGGGGCTATTAACGGATGGTGACCGTGGCTCTGCTATTTTAGAAATCCAGTACAGAGGCGTGATGTGCGCTGAATAATGACATCCTGGAACGGCCTCCGTCCAGAAACAGGGCTTAAAGGAGCAGTGTGCCATAAGCTTTAGGAGTATCGGAAGGCTGGGGCTGTTGAGTTTGCCTTTAGATTTAGGGATTTCTACGGCTCTTTAATCCCCCTCCAGAAAGGCCTCCTGTCACCCTGAGCTTTCATTTCGAAGGACTGTAGGTGCTTTTGGAGTTGTGTGTTTTCCACCTTTCCCATTGCAAAGTGGTTGTGGGTGATCTGCATGCAGGGTCTCCTAGGTCTTCAGGCTACGCGGTTCTCCCGTTCTGTCAGTCGTTGATTTCCATGTAAAAAGAGCATTGGAATTGCTGAATTCTGCCGTTACAGTTTTATAATATTCTCAATCCTGATGATCCGAACGTAGGGGGACAGAACAGTTGTTTGCACTTCTTAGCACTGTCTGGAGTGGGGAGTTTCTGAAGGTGTTGCTCACGCCTTAGGGAATTAACAGCTTTGTGCGGTCTTCACAGTGAGAGGCCAGCTGCTGTAGAGTCATGAACTGAAGTAGTAAAAAAGATGGGTTATCCCGATGCAAAGCTTTTAATTTTCTTGTTGCAGTGTGACATTCCATTTTCGAAGTCCATTGCATTGTAGATATGCAATGAAAACTAGTGCTGCTTTGCAATTGAACTATTAAGTGCTGCTTCCTTCTTGTACTATAAGGCTTGTCCGCTTGCTTTCGCCTCAGAACCAAATGTAATTGCTCCACATGGCTGTCCAATACAAGAGATTTGTACAGTGGTTGGTTTATGTAGCTGTAGTTTTATCATTTGAATTATGTGCTGGCTTCTTCCAGCCTTTAGTTTGTGTAATCATGTTGTGATCATGTAACCCAGAGGTCCTCAGACTGCTGTCCTGCTGGTCCACTCCACTACACCTGTATGTTACTCAAGAGTGGGTCCAACAAATCTTAAGATGCAAATATATCACTATTTAACAGAAGATAATATTTTCTTCACCAGTTCAGTTTTTACAATAGCCTAACACTTATTAAATCTGAGTTGGAGCAGAGTGCACTGCACAGAGGTCATCTTACCTGTCTGAACTACTGTTATCTGTGCCCTTGTGATCCCTGTCATACAGCAAGTCTGTCGTAAGTCTTGGGTACTCCCCTGAATCCACTGTCCCATGGCTGAGACACTGGTAGGAATTTACACGTAATTAATGATTGAATTGCAAAACTGCTAAATTTAAGGTACACCAAAAGGCATCTTTGAAGACTGAGGAGGCTATGCTGATGATAATCACTGGCAGTGTGCCTTTATACAGGCAGTTGCGGCAGTGTGCCCTGCTGCAGGGTAAGCCATGGTGGTGCGTGGTGTTCTCCAGCAGCTCCCTGTTCCTCTGCATCTGTGGCTCTCGGGTAGCAAGGAAATGCAATAGTGAATCGCTTTGGACTGTTAGCTCTGCGTGTGACAGCTGGAGGGAGGCAGATGAATGAGGACTGTTGTGGAAAAGATATGGTTTTCTATGACAATGGTTTACACAATAGTTCGTTCCACGGATGGAAAACCTTTTTCTTTCGCTCAAGAAAATTAATGGAGTCATTCAATTCCAGTAAACCAAGCTTCGGTTATTCCCAGTTTAGAAAGTACAAATCATGTAGACACTTGAAAAGTGTAAGCTTTGTTTTTTTTTTAAGCAAGCACCCTTTGGCACAGACGGTTCTTATAGTGTTGCTCGTCTCTTTAGTATGTGAAATCGATGCAGAATCTGTAGGAGAGCCAACACAAGGTCAGCCTGGCAGCGTAAGAAGAAAACGGGGAAAAACCCAGGCTCCTGAGATGCTGGGTCTTTTTTTTTTGATATAAGATTAATCTGTTCCTTCGAAGTGATAAGGATGATGTGAAAACGCACACAAAAGAAGAAAACGGGTGACAATAAAGTAAGAGCTCTTTCTTTCCCTGTGCTGCCCTGTTCTGTTTCAGTTTATTGGAATTGAGAAACAGCTGTAACCGAAAGCCAATAGAGGGGGTGTACATACACCAGATTTTGTTCAATTCCCCAAACGTCCCCACGCCCCCCAGCTACTGATGCAGAGTGTCCCTGAATGGGGCTCTCTGGTCAAGGATGATAAGTAGTGACAGGGCAGAGAATGGTTCTGGCAGCCATGGAAATTGTTACAGAGAGGGACTGTCACCCTGGCCAACCCCCTTGAAGGAAGAATAGCGCCCCAGATGAGCTGGTACACCTCAAGCTTTTGTGCTGCTCTGCTAGGCAAGGCCAGAGCAGGCGACAGGGCAGCTCCAGCCCTTATTGTTTGAGCACATTTCTAAAAAAATTAAAGCCCTGTATTTTCCTGTAATGACTCACACTCTTTGTTGCCTTACTAATGAAAATATATAGTATTCCCTTCAGTGCTGCTGTTTTTGTTAGCATGAGGCAGTCAGGCGACTGAATGCCGAAATCCGGGCAGAATCCTTTTCTGCCGTTTTTTTCCTCCATCAGGTTTTAAGGATTTGAAAAAAGCCTGCTTCCCAACAAAGAATTAACCTGTGCCTAACTTTAATGTGGCAACTTGTGAATCGCATGTAGCATTGAACTCGCTTTGTCTTTTGTCGCTGTTCACTGTTGTTTGTTACACTGGTGTGCCACGTTCCTTTCCTCCAATAGTGGCCGTGTGGCCTCAGTGAGGCACCCACCTTCGGCGCAAGCTGGAGAAAATAAACAGCTGCTGCAGCAGAGAGGCCCTAATGTGTTAAGTTTCCCATGGTGGAGAAACCGCTCTGCTCTCACTGGTTAAATAAGGATCTCTTAAAGCAGCTTGGCACTGTTAATCATTTTCTTTTCCTTTCTCTTTTTAACCCCTTTTTTATTTGGGGAGGGTGGGGGCGCGCGCACACACACAATTTGCTCCCCTCTTGTACCGTGCTCGTCCAAGAAGAAGCCCATTGTTTGCAAGTGAAAGGCCCTTGTTTCAGCTGTGTAGCTAAATCAAGAGCTCCTCCTGGACAATGAGAGTGCGGTGCCTCACTCCCAGATTGTGCCATTGGAATTGCAGCGAGGAATTAACTCTGTCCCCATTGTTGTTTAAGCACCCCCCCCTCCACACACACACACACACACACACACACACACACACACCACTCCTCTCCTCTGCTCTGCTCTGCTCTTGCCCCCCCTCCTTCATGCTGCGCTCCTGCTCGGTCAAGTGATCTCACCCCCCTTTTCTTCTAAAAACTAAAGAGCGGAAAAAAAGAGGGAGGGGGATTTTTATTCTTCGTTTCACCCCCCTTCGAGAAGGCATGCCTGTCCATCTCTGTTTTTTTTTTTTTTAAATGGTCTAAATTGAGATTAGCCTTGAACGTCCGTGAATTTTGAAGGCCCAGGTCAAAAGCTGCAGTTTATTCATTTTAGTCCTACATGGACCTAACCTGGCTGGCTTCATTGAAGATTTTGTTCAGCTGGGTCCCCCTCGAGTGTAACAGCCCTAAGTGTGGTCAGAGTTTTGCTGACAATATAGGCAATATAGGACCTTCTGTTGTCTCACCCATGGGTTCAGAGCTGCATGAACATATTTGATGGGATCATTTCTAATACCAGTATTAGGATAAGGGAGTTTCGTCTGTCCTGTGAACTGGAATCTCATGGGTGCTAAGGCACTGCTACACGAAACAGTCTGAATCCTTGTTGGTGGAGGGTGGAGCTGCTGATGACGAGTGCTTTTATTGAGTTACTTGTGAACCCTGAGCTGCCTTGTGTGTGAGAGTCTTACAGCTGGTTATCCTGAACTTGTGACAGTAAAGTGCTCACATGCATGTGCGGTGTCACATGTGGCCAGGAGTCATTGCAGATTTTCCTGTTTTTCTCACAGTGTCCTAAGGTAGTGCAGGGAGGACCGGTGCTTATCTCTGCAATTCAGCTTATCTGATAAGTGTGAACGTGATGTTACTTGAAAATAAGCTGGAGGAGGGTTAAGCAACTAAAAAGTTCAACATTGTGTTAAGATATTATTACAAACCACGAAACAGCATCCCGTAGCCTGTACATGTGCAGCACCTGATGCA